ACACCTGTGGTTTCCAGCCAAACAAAAGACAGGCATATGAGTTGAACATTTACCTCAAGTGGATACACTCCTTGGAGAGAACAATCATGGGAGAAAAAGGGCTGTTTATGCACAGGGAGAGAGCTCAGGGGGCAGGAGTGCTTGGAGAGATGGACACAGGGAAGAGGTAACTATGGGGAGGAAGTGGGAGGGAAACTGTTGCATTGTGGTAAACTGTGGTCAATGTCATGAGACAGTGTATGTGAACTGCTGTATGGAAAGTGAATTTGCATTGTAAATCTTTACCCAAATCACAATTAAAAAGAAAACAAACAAAAAAACAGAAAAAAGAAAAAGAAAAAAAACAGCATGGTATTGGTACAAAGACAGACCAATGGAACAGAAATGAAAACCCATAAACAGACCCATCCATCTATGCATAGCTGATCTTTGACAAAGAACCAAAATTCATTAAATGGGGGAGAGACAGCTTTAACAAATGGTACTGGCAAAATTGGATATTCACTCACAGAAAAATTAAGTAAGACCCATACTTTAACCCCACACACTAAAACAAACTCAAGTTGGATCAGAGACTTAAATGTAAAACCCAAAACTACAAACTCATCAAAGATAAAATAGGTGCAAATCTAGGGGTCCTAATCTACAGTATAAATAGACTATCAAGCATAACCCAAATGCACAGGCAGCGGAAGAGAAACTTGATGCCTGGAACCTTTTAAAAATTAAATTCTTATGTGCATCAAAAGACTTCTCCAAAAGGGTAAAAAGAGAACCTACAAACTGGGAAAAAATATTTGGCTATGACATATCTGACAAGGGACTTATCCCCAAAATTTATAGAAAACTTCAACACCTCAACACCAAAAAAAAAAAAAAACAACCCATTTGAAAGTGGGCAAGGAACATGAACAGATACTTCACTAAAGAAGATATACTGGTGGCCAACAAACACATGAGGAAATGCTTGCAATCATGAGCCATTAGAGAGATGGAAATCAAAACAACAATGAGCTATCATCTTACCCCCAGCAACTATAGCAAAGTCCAACAAGACAAGAAGACAGAAAGTAACAAATATTGGCAAGGTTGTGGAGAGATTGAAACTCCCATACACTGTTGGTGGGACTGCAAAATCGTACAACCATTGTGGAAAATGGTATGGCTTTTCCTTAAAAAACTAAAAATAGAAATACCATTTGATCCAGCAATTTAATTGCTAGGAATAAAACCTAAAGAGGTGAGAGACAAGACATAAACAGACATATGTACACCCATGTTCATCTCAGCACAATTCACTATAGCAAAGAGATGGAAACAACTTAAATGGCCATCAACAGATGGATAACCAAACTGTGTGGTATATTCACACAACGGACTACTACACAACATGAAAGAATAATGAAGAAAACACAAATCATCTCACAATGTGGATGAATTTAGAGGACATTACACTGAGTGAAGTAAGTCAATCACAGAAGGACAAGTATCGTATGAGCCCATTATTATAAAAAGTCAAGGAAAGGTTTATTCAGGGAAGGAAATTCACTTTGTTGGTTACCAGGGACAGGAGGGAAAGGGAGGGAAAATTCTGGACTACATGGAGGTAAAAAAAAAAAAGGTAATAATAATATTTCTGTGATCTTTCTGCAAATTATTTTCTTATCTAGAAATATGAGATTTGCTTTGAAATGAAAAATTTAGATTAACACTCACTATCTCTCATCTCTCATCTATTTTGTGCATCACTGCTTTCTATGTCTGTTTTACAGTTTCTTCCAGTTTAGAAGATCATTCCCTTAATAAGAAAAAATGGAAGGAAAATTGAAGTAGAAATCTACTTTCTCCTTGTTTTCTTATTTTCACAATGTGGATCTATATTGTCCATGAAACAGAGCACAAAGATTCTTTTTGTTACACTTAGCAATTTTCAAAGCTTCAGTTCATTCCAGCCATGTTCATATTCCCAGTTAACTTTTTAATTATAAACCAACCTTCTGTCCTGTGGATACATATCTACTTCTAAGTCTCAGTATTTGAAAACAAGGTGAAAAAAAATCATGACCCAAATGTATTATGACTACAGCTCATGCTAAAAGCAAAATAACGCTTTGTTTCTGAAAGAATCTTACTGCAGATACCTTATTTCAACTTAATTCTGAAGCACGACTCCAAATTTTGTTTTCCTATCTTTATACTTTGATTTATTGAAATTTCATACAGAAGTGGAATACAATTATATGAGGCCCCACCTTTTTAGTATTCTTTCATCACTCTCCTATTCATCATTTTTTCTTTGCCATCTTCAGTAATATAATAGAAAATAAAATTGATGTTTGTGGTACTTTCAACTTCCAAGTTTTTCTTTTTGCTCTCAGTTTTCTGATTTTTGTACCTAGATGATGATGTTGTTTAGTTTACTCAAGAAAAGTAATGTTCAACTTTACAATTATTCTACTTGCTTTCCAGACCTATGCAGAGTCTAGATTTAATACAAGTTTTTTTGCCTACTCCTATTACAATCCAACTCCTAACTGAGAATAGAAATAAGAAAAAAATATCTATTCAAAGATAAATGGTTGGCCACTCCTCGGAAGGAAGGTTGGGCAATCCTACTTCCGTAGTGATACTGCCTCGGAAACCCAAGGAGGGGTCGCTATGAGTCGGGGCCGACTCGACGGCAAATAACAACAACAACAATTTTAATAATATTTTATGATGCTTTCAGTGAAAATTTACATAGCAGTTTAGGTTCCCATTCAATAACTCCTACACAAGTTGTTCATGACATCTGTGGTGGCTATTCTTTTTAACCTTCATATTCCTAATTAAGGTCATGTTATCTGAATTTGCCAATGGAAAAATGACGTCTAAGTTTCAAAAGATAACTGAAGCTAGCTATACAATTAGTAGCTATTTAGTACCACAGGTTACTTAACATAATTTTGATTTGTCAATTTTTTTTATCTTGACAACTTCTCTCCTTTTTAAAAAACTGTAGGTATATACATTAAACCATAATTGAATGTCTTGATGTATGAAGTCTAGGCTTTATTATTTCCTAAGATATAAATCACTGCATTATGAAAGCCTTAAATTGTCCATGTTAGGTAATATTTTATCTCTATAATGAACAAAAAGTAACTGAAGGAAGGCTTTAAAAATCACCTTTGGCAAAATGATACCTAACACGCTGATCTGAATGTAAGGAATATTATCTGTGGCTTGGAACCTAACATAAAGGAAGTATTACACATTTCTAACAAGACTGTGTGAACAGAAAAAAAAAAAAAAAGTTAGAACAAGGAGTCTTTGGGCCACAATAATACCTTTAAGTATCACAGAACATAAAATTGAATAATTTAGTTACTGTAGGAAACAAAATTATTTGAAACAGGAGCACTGAAATTGTGCTTAAAAATATATATATATGTATTATTTTAAAAGGAGGGAAGACAAGGTATGAAAAAGCACTACTAGACTCCTTACCCATTGTTGTTGGTGCTGGAGCTTCCTGATGGTATTTTCAGCTTGCTCCAGCTTAGCACTGGCCTCATCACTCTGCTGTTTGATGGTGGCCAACTCCCGTTTTATGAGGTAGTTTTCCTCAGCCTCCTGGGCTCTTGTCACTTGTCCCTTAGGACATAATTTTTGTGCGCATAAAGCAATTTAGGATAGATTCAAGAAAGACTGCCTTTGTGAGGTTTAGTTATTTACTTTGACATGTTAAAAAAAATCCCTTCTGAGAAAAGAACAGCCTATGCAATTATTAGCTAGCAGCTCATTACTGCTCTGCAAATTTTGGGACACTAAATGAAAAATTCATCTGATAAGCTTAAGAACAATTCTTCTTCAGCCAATAAAAATTCAATTCATGCAATATTACTGAATTGTACATGCAGGACTAAAATTTTCATTGAATGTAGTTAATTTCACAGAATCCACTGATTACCATTTGAAATAAATACTTAAAAATAAGGTTAGCTTTAAAACGTGCAGAAGGTGATTATTTTGATATACCAACATACTGCTACCAAGAATTAAGTACACCCACATATACCATCCCAAAATATTTCTAGAAAAATGCATGTAAATTTGCATGCATCAAAATATGAATTTCTACATTTAGAGCTTTCCTTATAAGTTAGAGGAAATGCTAAAACATAAAACTATACCTGTATCAATCTATCTGCCAAGGAAGCACTTTCCTATAAAAGGAAAAATTCAGATAGAAATATAAGAGAAAGAAATAAAATAAAAGTGATAATATTAGGAATAAAGAAGAAGCAAAGCACACCCAAATTCCACCTACTTTTCATTGGTACTTAAAATGGACATCTAAATCTTAAATCTATTTTCTACCAAATAGGTTTTTATTCACCTTTTCAGAAAAAAATATCAAAACAAGTACAGACTGCTGAAAACCAAGTGTTTACAGAAGAGATCAAACACAAATTCCAAGTGGTTTTTCATTACTTAGGGCAAGCATATATCTTCTTTTTAAAGTATATCTGTAAGTCTTTATTTTTAGAGTCAACCACACTGTCAAACCATTTGACATAAAATAGAAGGAAATGAAAGGGAGAAGGAATTTGAGCAAGCATTTCTACTTGTAAAGTATAACAGCAATTTGTGCAATACCAACTTCCAAAGAAGTAAAGCAAGGAAAATACGATAAATGAATTGCACCACAACAAAGTTATTGAGCTCCACTTGATACATTCCAGCAATAAATGAACAAGTTAAACTTTTTGGTTACGGAATTTAATTGATACCTAAGTATTACAGAATTCTAAGTACTAAGGATATACCTCGGTCATATGAGGCAATAAAAGGTAGAATAAAAATCCAAACTTAACACTTTCCTGTTGTTGTTATGTGCCGTCGAGTCAAACCCGACTCATAGCGACCCCTCCTTGGGTTTCCGAGGCAGTATCACTACGGAAGTAGGATTGCCCAACCTTCCTTCCAAAGAGTGGCTGGTGGGTTTGAACCGCCAGCCGTCTGGTTAGCAAGCAAGTGTCTTAGCCACTATGCTACCAGAGGGGCTGAATCGACAGCACATAACAACATAACACTTTCCTACAGAACCTTTATCATTCTGAAGGTTCAATGAAATAAAAATGCTTTCTCTGAAAATGTCTCATGTTTCTAATGGAACATAAACAAAAAAAAGAAACAGTACATAACCAAAACTACTTAAAAACAATTAAGCTCAAACTTTGTGGAATCACTAAAAAAAGTAGAATTATTCTCAAAGCAACTCTAGTAAGATAGGAGAAATACTATGAAAATTATTTTAGATACTATAATGTACAGGTGAACTATTACATAACAAAGATAGGCATTAAGAAATATTCTTTCCTTGTTCAGTGTTATTTAATATGAAATTGTTAATGCTTTCCAAACAAAAGGGAAGTACTACCAACTCTGTATTTCCATTTATTTATTAACTCAAGATTGAGCTGTAGATTTTCATGGAGAATTAAGATACCTGGCAATATTACAGGGGTACTTTTAAACCTAGTCATCCTCACCTTTGCTAAAAAACACCAAAAGAGTTTATGAATTCAGTTATTTTTTCTTTTAATAAAGCAAAACTGTTAAACTATACTTTAGTACTCAATAATTCATAAAGCATCAGAAATATGACTAAAGAAACATTACATCAAAATTACAATATGTAAAATTGCCACATTTGCCCAGTTATTCTCTATGAAACAGAGAGGAAGAGGTAAAAAATGAATAGCAAAATAATTCCAAGAACTAAAAGATAAAGCAAAATGTCCCTAGGCTGAAAACTGAATTTTCACATAAACAATCAGTCAATAAGACTAACCTGAAAGCAATCCTAGGTCTTATAAGAATCAGTGCCACATTTAACATGTGTCTACAAAGTCAGTGCAACATTCAAAACTCATCTTTAAAATGCAGTATTAGGAAAGATTTCCAACTAGATTAATTCTAAAGAACTCATCTATTAGACATTACAAGTAAAGAAAATAAATGACATCAATATGCTACTCTGTTAACTCAGTTAAAACTAAAGCCTGAAAATTCAAGAAAGACTGGTACTAATTACTTTTTATTAAGGGTAAGTTATTTAGTTAAGCAGTAAGCAGGCATGTTAAGCAGTCAATACCACAACTCAGAAGACATGTAAGCTGTATTTTTTCAGGCTTTATTTAAAATATACAGAAAAACATTGTATGCAATAAACAGAAGCTTGCATAAACAGTCATTTACTTACTTTTTCTAATGTTTCAATGCGTTGTTTTAAAAGTCTATTTTCTGTGCGTAACCTCTGCCAAAAACAAAACAAAACAAAACAAACAAAAAAGTGTTTTGTTTGCAAGTATCCCTGAGATGGAAAATTCGTAAATCTGTACACCTTTTCAAAATAATAGTATAAAGAATGGTGACATACTTTATCATCAAATTCTTAAAGGCTCAGAGTAAGAAATTATCACACTTATCATTCTGATAGTGAGTGTATTTTAAATCTAAGCTAAAGGATGTAAGTCATTATGTCCTTACCACACATTGACTTAGCATCTGTATTTTATTTCAATTTCCCCATTAGCTAGAACTGATTCTAACTTACCTATCTCCTACACAACCTATCTACATAACTTAAAAAATTTTTCACTTTTTTGAAAGATGTTTATTGTTGTTGTTTTGTGTCACTGAGTTGGTTCCGACTCACAGGCAACCCTAGAGTAAAAGAGCCCCATAGAGTTTCCTAGGCTATAATCTTCATGGTAGATTATCAGGTCTGTTTTCCATGAAGCCACTGATGGATTCAAACCACAGACCTTTCAGTTAGCAGCCAAGCACTTAACCATTTTACACAGTTAATATTAAAATATCTGTTGAATGAAGAAATAAGTCAATGTCTGACTCTTAAAAACCTGCCAAATAACTGTTCAAACCAAACTCACTGCTGTTGAGTCAATTTTGACTCATAGCAACCCCTCCTTGGGTTTCTGAGGTACTATCTCTATGGAAGTAGATTGTCCAACATTCCAAGGAGTGGCTGGTGGGTTTGAACTGCCAGCCTTCTGGTTAGCGGTCAAATGCCTTAGGCACTACACCACCACAGTTCCTGTTACCAAGTGTTAAATACAAATCATTCAATATAAATTTTTTTTTTTACATATTCTACCAATATAATTTCTTAACAATCTTTTATTAGCTCTTCTAAAATGTTAGTTTCAAACTTCCTCTTACCCTTTTGCACCAATTTGTTCCAGAGCTCAATCTAGACTTCCTACAACCCTACTTCTGAATTTAAAAAGTCTTCTCAGAAAATTCTTCCATCGATTTAATACATTATTTTGCCAGCCAAGGCAATTTAGTTAATATAACATTTAAAATCCCATTTCAAGGAAAGAGACTCTGAATTATTGTATCTTATTAAATGGACCACTAATTCCAACAAATAAATATTACCTTTATTATAAGTAGAATTCATAAAATTGGATTTTCTTGTTCTATTCACTAAATATATATTTAGATGACTTAACATGGATATTACTTTATGGGTGATCCTAGCCTAAAAAATAATAGCTTGAAGAGAAAAAAATGTTTCTCATTTCTTGGCTATCCCTACTATGTGCAGCATAGTAGACTACACAATTATTAAATGTTGTTAAACACTAGGAAGCAAAAAAACAAATACAATTCTCAAAGTGGTTTCAACATACTTCACTGAAAAACATGGAACATTTTGGTTAACTCAAAAGATTTAGAAAGCCATGTTCTAATCAGACAATTGAGTGAATAAAGTTAATGTTAAAGTAGAAATAATTCTACAATGTAGAATTAAAAACATCCATCCAGATTTCCCATGCCACCGTCTTTAAATATTCTGAAATCTATTTTGCTAGAAATAAAACATCTAAGTTGATTTTCCCAAAACATCTACCTAAATGTCTTGACATTACTTTTTAAATAACTTATTCCTTCCTTATTTATTTGTGATAACCACTTCATCATGAAAGACAAATATAATAGGCTTTTTCTCAGTTACTTACTAAGTTTCAGTCTGTTCTTTGGACTAGTATCACAGTATTTTGGTAATTATAACTTTGTAAACCCACTGATGTCGAGTCGGATCTGACTCATAGTGACCCCTCCTTGGGTTTCTGAGGCAGTTATCACTACGGAAGTAGATTGCCCCATCTTCCTTCCGAGGAGTGGCTGGTGGGTTGGAACTGCCAGCCTTCAGGTTAGCATTCAAAAGGTGCCATCAAGTCACTTCCAACTCATGTTGACTCTACGTACAACCGAACAAAAAACTGCCCTGTCATGCACCATCTTTACAGTCCTTGCTATGCTTGAGCCAATCATTGCAGCCATTTTGTCAGTCTGTTTCATTGAGTGTCTTCCCTTTTTTCACTGACCCTCTACTTTACCAAGCATGATATCCTTCTCCAGGGCCTGGTCCCTCCTGATAACACGATCAAAGTACAAGCAAATAAGAGCAACACACACCATTAATTCAGTATACATTAGGTATATGCAAGTGATCTCGCTTAATTCTTCCAATATCCTTGTAGGTATTATTACTCTAATTGTTTAGCTGAGGAAATGGAGATTCTAAGACATTAAATGGCATTTACAAGTATAAATGTAGAGCAAGAATTTGAACCTAAATCTAATTTCAAAGCCTAGTTTCTTAAGTAATATGCTAGTATTTGGGTTTAAGGGCAAACAAAAATTATAATGAGAGAAATTAGCTCTGGTGATACAGTGACTAAGGCAGTTATAACTGCTAACCAGAAGGCAGGTGGTTCAAATCCACCAGCCACTCTGTGGAAGGAAGATCGGGCAATCTACTTCCATAAAGACTTACCACCTTGGAAACCCAAAGAGGGTTGCTATGAGTCGGAATCAACTCAGTGGCAGTGAGTTTTTTTGTTTTTTAATATTAAACAAGTCTATTCAGCATCGCAGCAACATGGAAGCCTCCACTGACAGATGGTGGATGCCTATGAGGTATGCTGGCTAGTAATCGAATCCAAGTTCCCCACAGAGAAGGCAAGAACTCTATCACTGAACAACGAATGCTTCATTCTTCCCTCTTTACCAAGATTAAATTCAACTCATTATAAGCCATCTCTTTGCCCCACCTCCCTTAGTAGTATATTTGCCTGGTGAAATCACTATTCTGGTCAACTCTATGACAACTGTACCTGTACCTATTCTCTTAAAGATGACTGAAGGAAAACAACCCTGACGTTTATTTAAATTCATAATCACTAAATTTAGCTGGGCTCTTAATACTGCCTAGTAATAATAATGTATTTCTCTAGTTCTTTCTCCAACTCTCCTCGATCACTATTTCACACTTGCTCCTCTTTCTTCAAATCAGCAAGTCCATTCCATTGTCACTCTTAGCTGGTCATCTTACGATTTCACTGAAAAAACAGAAACAATAAAAACAGAACATCCACAAGCTCTCACAACCACCTTCTACATCTGATGTGCATTTCTGCCCATTTATATTACTTCCTCTTCTGATACTGTGGATTAATTATCCATGCTAGTAGCTCATTCCCTGGAGAAGGATCTCATGCTTGGTAAAGTGGAGGGACACTGAAGAAGGGGAAGGCCCTCAATGAGATGTACTGACACAGTGGCTACAACAATGGGCTCAGGTATAGTAAGGATTGTGAGGCTGGCACAGGACTGGGCAGCATTTCATTCTATTTTACACAGGGACGCTATGAGTTGGAGTCGACTCAACGGCACCTAACAACAATTAACAGTAGCTCAAGTTAAGGTACCTAGCTATGCACTAAATCCCATGCCCCCTTGCTTCCAGCAATTATCTCTTCTCTTTCATACATCATCAGTTTTTCACAATTGTTCATCACCATAAAAATATGTGGATATTTCTCTCATCTTAAAAAAAAAAAAAAAAACCCTCCACATCACTACCTTCTCCAGTTACTATCTTTTCTTTCCTCTTTACGGCAAATCCTTTAAAAAGGTACCTATACTTGTCATCTCTAATTTTCTCCTTTCATTCCAGTCAGGTTTTAGTTCTCACCTCTCTGCTTTTTTCCAGATTATCTCCATGCTGATAAATTAATGCTCATCTCACAAAAACTATCTTCAGCGAATGAAGAAAACCAAAAATTCATGGAAACAATTAGTCCTAGCGACTGGTACACCATCCGATCTGCAGCCTATATGACTATGAGCCCAGAAGAACTAGATGGTGCCCGGCTACTACTGTCAACCACTTGGAAGAGGATCTATGTAGGAGATCCTGGATAGACAGGGAGAACAATGTGGAACAAAACTCATTTGGGGGAATAAAAAAGCGGGGACCAAGTTTGCTGGCCCGATAGAGCCTGGTGGAACCACTGAGACTATGGCCTCTAGGTGCCCTTCAGGTCTGAAATTGAATGTACACCTGTGGCTTCCAGCCAAACAATAGACAGGCATATGAGTTGAACATTTACCTCAGGTAGATACACCCTTTAGAGAGAACAAGCATGGGAGAAAGAAGGGCTGCTTATGCACAGGGAGACAGCTCAGGGGGCAGGAGTGCATGGAGGGATGGACACAGTGAAGAGGTAATTATTGGGAGGAAGTAGGAGGGGAAATGTGGCATTGTGGTAAATTATGGTCAATGTCATGAGACAAAGTGTATGTGAACTGCTTCATGGAAAGTGTATTTGCTCTATAAATTTTCACCCAAATCACAATAAAAAGGGGGAAAAAAAAAAACAAAACTACCTTCAGCATTTGACACATAAATGCTTCTCTCTTGGCTTCCAGGATACCACACTTCATTGGTTTTCTCTTGCCTTTCTTGGCTGCTTTTCTCTAGTCTACCTAACCTTTAAATGCTGGTTTGGGCCTGAGCTCAATTCTTGAACTCTCTTCTCTGTTTTATCTACCATTCCCCAGGTAATCCCATCCACCCTCTGTGCTTTCAAGCCCATCTTTTTTGCCAACAAAATATTATACATTTTACTTTGTTTACAATCTTTCATACTAGAATATAAGTTCTATGAGGGTAGGAATTTGTCTGTTTCATAACCACCATCTCAAATGCCTAGAACAGTGGTTAGGCATGGTAAGTATCTGTTAAATGAATGAATTACTGAATAATTTATGCTATTATACCCTCATTGTATATTATTATATAACTATCAGTTACACAGTGAGAAGCTTGTAATGCCACAGAAAAAAATGGCATCCTAATCCTTCTTACAAAGGTGCACTGGTAGCACAGTGGTTGAAGGACCCACCTACTAACTGAAAGGTTAGGGGTTCAAATTCAACAACTGCTCTGCAAGAGAAAGATGTGGCAGTCTGTTTCCGTAAAGATTTATAGCCTTGGAAATTCTATGGGTAGGTTTTACTCTGTCCTATGGAGTCACTATAAGTGTAAAACTCAATTTGCCAGCACTGAGTTTGGGGTTTTTTGATTAATCCTTCTTACATCGCTAATATATCAAACTCTCCTGGAAAGCAGCACAGTGTATATACTGGAAGAACATATATGGGACTGAAAATAATATAAATCAGAGTTCAAAACCTTGATTTTCACTATTTTCTAGCAACATGAGCAATGACATATTATTGGAGCTTTCTGAAGCTCAGTTTCTTCATTGAAGGAAGAGAGTTAAGAACCTTCCCATAAGGCTATTATAAGAATTAACTAAGATTATACATTTAATAGCCTATCATATTTACTGCTGAATAAATATGAACCCAGACTCTAGTACTTCACATTGACCGCTAATTATAATTCCTGGATAACTTTGGTAATATTTGTCATGTTTTCTTTCTTATGTCAGGAAGTAGCTACACAAGTCTCTTTTATATTATTTTCTTGTTTTAGCCTATCTTATATAGTTCATCATTTTTGAAAAAGGAAGAATATCCAACTTCTGACTAAAAAGCAGTCAGAGCTTCTAACATCGGTAGGACTTTAGAACTCTATGTCCCAAAGCACAAATTCAAATATGAAAATTAGATGATTAGTTTATATGTCTGCCTTAAATAGAGTGGTGGGAACAAAGATTTTCTTTTTTAAAGATTTGTGGGTTACCCTACTATAAGCTAGAATTTTAGTTATTTTTTTTACCTCTTCACCCTTAGATGGAACATCAATAGATTGGAAGAAGATACTGATAAATAAGTTTCTATTAACAAAAATGTTTATGCTATAAAGTGTATGATTCTCCATAAGAACCCATATAATCATCCAAATTTTTCTATAACACTTTTAGAGAATGGGTAAAAATTAAGTAAAAGTCACAATCTTGACCAAGGAACTCGATGACAGATTAATTTCTTAGAATAAAGGGCAACCACCCCAAGGATCTTAGAATTTAAAGTAAAAACACTAGAAACCATAAACACATCTCATGATAGGCTGATTTTATACTTCCATATCAAAACACCACATCATTTAATACTCGTACCACTTGCCTGTGTAAAGGATGATAAAAGATTATCTTCCTGGAGGCTTTTGAAGAGGACCAAGCAAGAAAGTAATATTTAACAGAATTCATTCCCTGTAAAAAGGGATCTGGGGGGAGATGTGAGTAAAGAAGTGGTACTGCTCACTTTACATCAAGGCTCAATTAATACTAACACATGGCTAATTAATTGTAAATAAGATGGTCACCTAATGACTAGATAACTTGCTAGATCCAAGTAAAAAAAAAACAGACATATCCAAGCACAAACAAAAAAGTACAGTCACTCAATTAAAAATGTTTTGTTTTTGTTTTTGGGAGGTGGAAGGGGTGGAGAAAGAGATGAAATGGTACCTGAGGAAGGAAGAACTATGGGAAAATAAGATTATTAAGAAAAAGGAACAGACTACCTTTGAAATCAGCATACTTTATTCACCTGATACATTCCACTAACTTTCTTTCTTTCTAGATTCTTCTCTATAAATAACTTTATGCCATCTGTGTTTGTCTGAGACACATAAAGCTGGTATTCAAAAGTTTTGTAAGATATATGAACTATGACTCCCCTCCAAAAGAAAAAAAAAAAAGTACTTTTTAAAATCACAAATATAGGTTAAAGTGTGCTAAAGAGCTTTTCAAAAATGCCTTTTGGTGTTCTATATTTGTATCACTTAATTTTAGAAGAAACTTCTTCAAAAGCAAGGGTTGTTCATATAACTGATTTTTTTTTTTTAAATAACACAGCATGGTGAAATGAATAGGATGGCTTCCCATCCTCAGATTCTTGATTGGTAGTTCCGAATATTCACGGTGTACGATAACCCATACTCTCGCCCCACTCATCAGGATGACGTACTTTTTAACATTCAGTAGGTTGAAGTGCAGGGTATGATTTAATATTACTCTTACTCATGGTACCTAAAAAAAAAAAGCAAATGGTAGAGCAGCAGTTGGGTAACAGGATAAAAAATGGGGGGTGGGAGGGTGGAGTGGGGGTGGTGAACATCCATAAAGGATCTTTTCTCTCTGTTTCTCAAAAATGTGTAAGCATCTACTTCTAACTGACAGGGAACAGATGACAGAAATGTAAATAAAAACACCTAGAAAGAGGAGGTCATAGTTTATGAGAAAGAAGTCACGTATGAAATAGGAGAGACTACTTCCCACAAAGCCTTTGAGGAAGACAAAGGCAAGAAAGGGTACTAGTTTAACAGAACCCATTCCCTTATAAAAGGAATCTGTAGAATATAAGTAAGGAAAGTGGTATTAAATAGCAGAGCTTAATTAATACATTGTTAATTAATTGTAAATAAGGTGGTCTTGTGGTATCTTGCCCGGTCCAATTAAAAAATCAGGAATACCCTAACACAGAGTATAAAAAAAAAGTAAAGTCACTCAATAAAAATTATTCTTTGCTTTTATTTTTGTGAGAGGGATAAAGGGAGGAAAAGAATTGGATCAGCCTGTCACTAGGATCCTTGACTAACCCATACTGCCACTCATCATCACCATTCTGCAATAGCAGCATAAAATGTAACCCTCCTAAAGTCACATCTCCCAATAGCTCCAGAAGACCCTCAATTGGAGAATTCCTTGGCTACAGGGGGTAAAAATACAAATTTTAGGGTATATAGGGAATTTGTATGGCCTCCAAGTTAAAAGCCTGTTTCTCTAGAGGGAAGTAGTTCAAAAGTATAATCCTTGCTTAGAGAAAAGAAAATTGAATTAGTCTTAAGTGCAATTCTAAGGCAGCCATTATTAGTTCTAGCACAAAGGTTTGCACTATCTGGTCTGCCTCAGATTATACTGCAGTGTCTCATCAGATTACTTTCCTTACTACTTTTTAATTATCTTAATAATATTTCCCATGAAAGTACTTTCCCCTGATGGGCCACCAACAAACCTAGAAAAAGGAAAGAACTGCTCTCTTTCACACAAGAATGAAAGGCACTTCAGTCACATTTTACTGGTTTTTGAAATATCCATTTTTAACTATAATCCAGCGGGATAGTAAATAAGTATAATAAATACAAACTTCATTGCTAAATTTACTGCAGATAGTGAACAATATAGCAATACGACTTCATAGCCTACTGCCAAATAACTGACTTCAACCAACTTATGTCCAGCACTGTTAAAAGTTCTAAGATGCTTACTTTAATTTCAACTTGCTCTTCCATTTCTTTAGTTTTTATTGTAGTGTATTCCTTTTCAAGCCTAAGAAGGAAAAATAAAGAGTGAAAAGTGTGTTTTCATTCAACAGTAGTTACTAAATTATGAATTTGAAAAATAATATACAGTAAAACCTGTGAAAGCCAGAACCTATGTAAGGCAGAAATCTGTCAGAGAAGAAAAACTCATATATTTTCAACCAATAGAGAACAACAGAAAAGCAGTAAGACTGCACCCTGTCAAGCAAAACCTAGTCTCACTGAGTTCTAGCACTCACAGATTTCAATGTATTAACACAAAAAAAATTACAGTTTCTTTAAGTTCCCCAACTTTTGAGATATTCATTATGAGAAATAGCATGTGAAGAAAGAGTTACAAGAGTTCTTATAAAAAATCACTTTGGAAATGACAAAAATAAGAACCACAGATAAGTTTAGAATTGAAATACATAAGGCACCACACACAGGACTGAGCTTACAGATTCTATTCAGCCCTGGACTTACAAAAGACCTATCTATCCTTCCCCCTCAAGTTAAAATACATCTGTACAGTTCAACCAGCTCTTATCCAAAAATCCTGTACTAAAGTCAACTTGAAAAAGTGTGTAATAGAGGAGAAGGAACAACTCTTCCTTACAGAAGAGCTCCAATTAATAAACATAGAAAACCAAACCCACTGCCAATGAGTCGATTCCAACCCACAGCGACCCTCATAGGGTTTCCAAAGCGGTAATCTTTACAGAAGCAGACTACCTCATCTTTCTGCCATGGAACTGCTGGTAGGTTCAAATGACCAATCTTTTGGTTAGCGGCCTAATGTCTTAACTACAATGCTACCAGAGTGCCTTAATAAACTAAGAAGGAATAAAGTTAATAGAAAAATCACCATTAGAATTCCACAATAATAACTGCTGCAGGCAAATACCACCAATGCATGCTAATATTAGTGGGCCAAAGTTTAAGTATAGCCTCAAAGTATATCTCTCAAAATATCTAATAGTTACAAAGGGAAATATAGTAAGTTTATAGCACACAATCCTGACAGAAAACCCCTGAGCCAACTGATAAAGGTTAACATCACTGGTACTGACATCACGGACCCCCTATTATGATGACATAACCTCTTCAGTATCCTTCCCAATAATCCATAACTTCAATCTAATCAAAAGAAATATCAAACAGATCCAAATTGAAAGATATTCCACAAAATAACTGACCAGTTCTCTTCAGAAGTGTCGAGGTCATGAAACACAAGAAAAGGCTGAAGAACTGTCACAGAATGGAGGAATAAGGAGCCACAGCAAATAAATGAATGTCCTATTTCTGCAATTCTACTGTAAGTCTAAAACAAAACTAAAAGCCCCATTGCTGTCGAGTCAATTCCAACTCATGGCAAGCCATGTGGTACAGGGTAGAACAGATATGAAAATCTACGGTTTTCAGCTATGAAAACCTATGGTTTTCTTGGCTACAGTCTGGGAAGTAGGTTACCAAGCCTTTCTCGCAGAGTCACTGTTGTTGTTAGGTGCCGTCATGTGGCTCTGACTCATAGCAACCCTATGAACAACAGAATGAAAACACTGCCTGGTCCTTGCCATACCTGAGCCCACTGTCGCAGCCACTGTGTCAATCCATCTTGTTGAAGGCCTTCCCCTTTATCACTGACCCTCCACTTTACTAAGCATGATATCCTTCTCCAGAGAATACTCCCTTCTGACAATATGACCAAAGTAGATGAGATGAAGTCTGGTCATTCTTGCTTCCGAGGAGCTTTGCAGCTGCATTTCTTCCAGGACAGATTTATCCATTCTTCTGGCAGCCCCTGGTACTTTCAGTATTCTTCATCAACACCACAACTCAAAAGCATCAACTCTTCTTTGGTCTTTATTCATTGTCCATCTTTCACATGCTATGAGGCAGAAAATACCATTGTTTGGGTCAGGCACACCTTAGTCTTCAAAGAAACATCTTTTCTCTTCTGCACTTTAAAGAGGTCTATGCAGTAGATTTTGCCTATGACAATACATTGTCTGATTTTTTGACTGCTGCTTCCATTTGGTGTTGATTGTAGAAGCAAGTAATATAAAATTCTTGACAACTTCAATCTTTTCTCCATTTATTGTGATGCTGCTTATTGGTCCAGTTGTGAGGATTTTGTTTTCTTTATGTTGAGGCATAATCCATACTGTAGACTGTAGTCTTTAACCTTCATCAGTAAGTACTTCATGTCATCTTCACTTTCAGCAAGTAAGGTTGTATCATCTGCATATCGCAGGGTGTTAATGAGTCTTCCTCCAATTCTGATGTCGCATTCTTCTTCAGATAGTCCAGCTTCTCAGGTTATCTGCTCAGCATACAGACTGAATAAGTGTGGTGAAAGAACACAACTCTGATGCACTCCCTCCATGATTTTGAACCATGCAGTATCCCTTTGTTCTGAGTGTGTTCAAACCAACAACCTTTCAATTATCAAGCACAAACTACTTTCAACACCAAAAGACCCAAACTATCCGTAAGAAAAAGTTTGCAGGTGACACAAAAATTAGTACCACCATATTATCTTAATATTTTGCTCTCGATCAAGAACATTAATACCAAGTTTATTCCAAATATCCACCAGATCAGAGTCCAAGTAAGTTTTAGCTACTTTCAAAGCTCAAATTCTTCCACTAAGGCCCAAAATTTGTTATTACATACTTTTTCAGACATTATAAATACTTTAAAAATACGCATGTCCCTTGGAGACAACAGAGTATCATACTATACAAAGAAGCAAGATAAAGCAGGAGAAATAAGGGACCAGGATACAGACCCAGAACACATCCCTGAGGAAGCAGCAGCACTGGAACTTCCTGATAACAAATTCAAAAGAATTATATTTAGGTATCTTCAAAGGATTGAGAGACAGATCAAGGAAAACACAGAGAAAACCCTAGAAGAATTTCAAAAGAAAATGTAAGAACAAAATGACAAAATAAATGAAAAATTAGAAATGATTCAAAATCTACACATAGAAATCCAGAAGATTAATACTAAATTGTCAGAAATAGATAACACATTGAAAGGGCAACAGAGTAGAATTGATGCAATGGAAGACAGAATTAATGAGATTGAAGACAAGTACTTGAATACTTCTTTGGAAAGGGATCAATTCTAAAAAAGATCAAAACAAAATGAAGAAAGCCTATGGTTCATGTGGAATACCATCAAAAGGAATAACCTAAGTATCATTGGAATTCCAGAACAGGAAGAGACAAATAAAACCACTGAGAAAACTGTCCAAGATTTGTTGGAAGAGAACTTCCCTGATATGATGAAAGATGAGAATATATCCATTCAGGAAGTCAAACGAACCCCAAACAGGATAAACCCCAAAAGAAAATCACCAAGACATATCTTCATTAAACTCACCAAAACCAAAGACAAAGAAAGAATCATGAGAGAAACACAGGAAAAACAAAAAGTTACCTACAATGGGCAACCAGTAAGACTAAGCTCGGATTTCTCGGCAGAAACCACGCAGGCAAGAAGACGATGGTATAGTATAAATAAAACCCTGAAAGAGAAAAATTCCCAACCCAGAATTCTGTACCCAGCAAAATTGTTAAATTTGTTAAAACCAGACCAACCTCACAAGAGATGCTAAAGGGAGTCCTTTGGACAGAGAACTAATAGTCAACAACAACTGACCATTAACACACAGAAGAAACTAACCCAGCTATGGAAGTATCCAAAGTAATAAGCCTATAAGATTGTAAAGAGGGAATGAGAGACATCAGCTGAAAAATGAGGACAACTACAAACCAAAAAGAGGGGAAAAATTATGTTGTTATAGAACTTCTAGATGGTTGGGATGTCAAGACAACTACAAGATAGAAACGACTGTTCTAAACTTGGAAAGAAAACTATAAATCATAGGGTAACCTCAAAGAAAAATGATAAACCTTCACATCAAAATAAAAAAGAGGACCAGCACATATTTAGCAAATACTAAAACAATAGCAAGAAAGGAAGTGATACACAATTCATAAACAAAATGAGCTCAGCACAGAAAATTATATGGAACAAAGAAATCAACACCACAAAAAAACACTTCACAAAAATGACAGCAACAAATTCATATTTGCCAATAATTATGTATCTGGCAGGGACTTATCTCTAAGATTTATAGAAAACTCCAATGCCTCAATACCAAAGGACTTAACAATCCAATTGAAAAATGGGCAGAAGACATGAATAGACCTTCACCAAGGAGGATATTCAGGTGGCCAGCTAATACATGAAGAGATGCTCACAATCATTGGCCATCAGAGAGATGCATATCAAAACAACCATGAGATACCGTCTCACCCCAGCACTGATAGCAAACTTCAACAAGACAGAAAATAACAAATGCTGATGGGGAGGTGGAGAGACTGGGACTCTAATATACTGCTGGTGGGACTGTGATATGATACAAGCACTGTGAAAAGCAATATAACAATTCCTTAGAAAGCTGGAATTGGAGATACCATTGACCCAGCAATCTCATTACTAGGTATATATACTAGAGAAGAGCCAGGACAGGAAGAGATATATGCACACCCATGTTCATTGTAGCACTATTTACAATAGTAAAAAGATGGAAACAACCTACGTGCCCATCAGTGGAAGAGTGGATGACCAAACTATGGTATGTATACATAATGGGATGCTATGCAGCACTAAAGAATAATGTAGAGTTTGCAAAACACTGCATAATATGGATGAACTTGGAGGACATTATGCTGAGTGAAATAAGTCAGTCACAGAAAGACAACCATAGTATTAGTTCGTTGCTGTGGAAGATCAAGGAAAGGTTTATATATGGAGAGAAACTTTCTTTGCTGATTGCCAGGGGTGGGAGGGAACACTGCAAAAAAAAACAAAACAAAAACCCATAGACCCATGTCACTTTCGTTTTGTATATTTCACTGTACATAAATTATATTTCAATAAAACACATTAAAAAAATACACGTCTCATTTAACTCATAGAAAAATAATACATGTTGCTATGAAACTTGTCTAAGGTCAAATCCTGTCTCCCACTATGGTATATCTAAAAGAATATAACATACAAAGACTCCAAAGAGTTGCAAAAAGTTTTCAACAACACCTGTACTGTTGAAGTAAATTTACAGCCTTCTCAAATGACTACCTTGACGTAGTCATCTTGTGGTATATTACATGATAAATGTCACCATCACTTATTTGTGTACCTAAAACAAAACAGTAGGAGTCATCATTTGATCACTGCCTTCCAATTCAGTCACCAAACACGTTCAATTCAATCTCCTTAACACAGCTCTAATCCACTGGCAAATCTACCAAAAATGAACAATCTGAACCTAATGGTGAGGAAATCTCAGAAAATCCAAACTGCAGGATTTTTCTACAAAATAGTTGGTCTTTATTCTTCAAGTTAAAAAAAAAAAAAAAAAGACAAACTGTTCAGATTAAAGGAGACCAAAACCAAACTGACAGCACAATTAAATGCAATACATAATCCCGGACTGGATCATGAACCAGGGGGATAATACTATAAAAGATATTATTAGGAAAAATAATGAAATGTGAATATAGCTGTAGATTAGATAAAAGTATTTTATCTGTGATAATCTCCTTATTTTGACTTCTACTGTGCTTATGTTTCTGTTTTTGTTTTTTTAAAGATGTCTTTGTCTTAAGAAACACATATTCAAGTATTTGAGGATAAACGGAGCAATGTCTCCAACTTACTCTAAAATGATTCCCAAAACACATGTGGTTATGTATTTTATTTATACACGCACACACATACACACAAACATCATTATTTATATATATGAGGACAGAGAATAATAAAGCAAATGGGGCAAAATGAAAACAATTGGGGATCTGGGTAAAAGGTATATGAGAGTCACTTATACTATATTTGAAGCTTTTTAATAACTTTAAAAGCACAGTAAAATAGAAACTTTTAAAAAGTCAAAAGCTAAGATCGATCTCTTCCAACTTGCATGTCTTCATGGAAACTCTGAGCCCATGTACATGTTAGTCTTCTACCTAAAATGCCTTCCTTCTTTTCACCTGGCCAACTGCTACTTACCCTTCTAGACAGCAAAAAGAATGTAACTTTTAAAATCAAATCACTTCACTTTTCTCAAAACTCTCTAATGGTTTTCCATTAGACATAGAATAATGTCTGGCCTATGCCTATGGCAATGTTACAAATGTTCTCCATCTGTGTGGCTGAAAAGACATGCCACTAGCCATATGTGACTACTGAGCACTTGAAATGTGTCTTGTGTCACTGAGAAGTTAATTTAATTTAAAAAGTCATATAGGGCCAGTAGTTACCATACTAGACAGCACAGCTTTAAACACCTCTAACTCACTACCACATCTCTGACCTCACTGCCCACGACCTCCTATTTGTCTATGTGCCTAAGGCACTTACTTGACTGCTAACCAGAAGGCTGGCAGTTCAAAGCCACCAGCCACTCCTCGGAAGGAAGGCTGGGCAATCTACTTCCATAGTGATACTGCCTCGGAAACCCAAGGAGGGATTGCTATGAGTCAGGTCTAACTTGATGGCACATAACAAGAACAACATTCCAGCCACACTGGCTTTTGTGCTGTTCCTTGAACATACCAGTCACATTCTTCTCTCAGCCTTTATGCCTACTATTCACTGAGCATGGAATACACTTTTCCCGATAATCACATTGCTTCCTCCCTAGTCCTTCAGGTGTCTGCTAAAATAGTAACTTAGCAGCAAGATATTCTGACTGCCCTATCTGAAAACAGCACTCCATCACTCTGTTCCTTCATCCTGCTTTATTTTTCCTTCTGGCACTCTCACCTGAGACATTACACACTAGACACATTCTGTCAGTCTTCTGTACTGCTGTTAAGTTGTGTTGTAGCCATCATTCAACACCAGGAACTACTATAAACAGTACTTATTGTATAGGGACTGTTCTATATTAAGTACTCCATAGGTCTATCAATACTATACTCAGGTGTCATCTCATTTAGAAAAACAATGTTAATTTTCATTCTCCTATGCTATCCTCCTATGCTACCATGTTAGTGGACTTGAAATTTTTCTGTTCACATACTCACTAAAAGAATGCCTCTTAATGAGAGAAGAGATGCTTGATAAAATGTCTAAGAATCCAAAGGAATTGTCTGGGGCACAGGGAGGGTATAGTCACAGGGACGGGAAGGGAGGAGAGTTTCTTATGGTCAGGGATGGTAATGAGGGCGTAAAAAAAAGAATGCCTCCTCTTAACAATTTTAAAGAAATGTTTGTTTGTTTGTTTTTTCCCTACCTGAAATGTATTTAGTTACAAAGCATATATAATTTATGTGTGGTTTAGAATTTTTGCACTGAAACTTTATAGAGACTGATCTCACTTAATGTATGGAAACATCTACTTTATAACCTAATTGGCAAAGCCAATCATTTTTAAGCTAATGATTCTAAGAATATTTACATTGTCATTAAAATCTGTCCTCATTTTTCAAGTCAAATAAACATGTTAATACCTGACCCCATGATCACCATTCTACCATCTCTTAATTCTAACTTTGAGAAGGATAAGGCAGGCTTGCCAAGTGTTTTTCAGCAGTATGAAGTAAGGAGCTACTCTTTTTGATTTTGATTTTTCTTGCTTTGCTCTCTCAGGGGACATTCCCTCAGGAGCAATTCATTCTGGAATTGTCCCTTTTGTTTGGTGCCTAAGAGTTTTCCATCCCTCAAAGTAATGTATCACAGTAAGATTTGGAGTGAATGACAAGTCTGTCTTTCTTTTATAGTGAGAGAAGAGAACTTGTGAAAGAAAAGATAAAAAAGAGAAACAAAACATCTCTATCATTGAATGTCATGGCAGATAAACTGTAGGAAAGAATATAGATTAAAACTGAAATCTAGTTACTATGCTCTAGAATATTTTCCTGATTTCCAGCAGGCTGTGTATACCAGTTTAAAGACATATAGATTAGGTATCTCTCTTAGATGTTACATTAATAACCCGTGGTATTAGCATTTACCAGACTATAATAAGCTATTTACTTCTCTGTTCTGCAACCCTCCAATCCATAAGAACCTCAAATTTTCTTCAAAGCCTGGTTCAAGATGCAGTTTGCTACATATCCCAAGTGTGGCATGGAGGAAATGGATGAGACTTATCTTTTAATAGTGAAAAATTATTACCGTCCAGCATATACATAAACAAGTACTACTCAACAAGTAGTAGTCAATGTAGCAAATAGACAACATAATAGAAAATGGAGAGAAAAAACAGGAAACACTCAAGGCCAATAAACATAAGTTGTACCATTTTACATTCCCACCAGCAATGGATTGTTGTTGTTGTTGTTTGCCGTCGAGTCGGCCCCGACTCATAGCGACCCCTCCTTGGGTTTCCGAGGCAGTATCACTATGGAAGTAGGATTGCCCAACCTTCCTTCCGAGGAGTGGCTGGTGGGTTTGAACCACCAGCCTTCTGGTGAGCAGTCAAGTGCCTTAGCCACTATGCTACCAGAGCTCCCAATGGATAAGGTTTCCAATTTTTTCATAGCCTCATCAACACTTGTTATTTTCCATTTTTCTGATAAGCCATACGAGTGGGGGTGAAATGGTATCTCACTGAGTTCTGATTTGCATTTCCCTAATGACAAACGACACTGAGCATCTTTTCATGTGTCTATTGGCTATTTGTATGTTTTCTTTGGTGAAATATCTACTCAAGTCTCTTGTCCATTTTTTGATTGAGTTGCTGCCTTTCTGCTGTTGAGTTATAGGAATTCTTTATATATATCCTGAATATTTAACCCTTATCAGGTATCTAGTTCCCCAAAATTTTCTCCCATTCTAAAGATTGTATCTTCACTTTTTTATAAAGTCTTTTGATGAACAGAAGTTAATCTATTTTGTAATTTATTGCTAGTGTGAAGATTCCATTGTTGGAAACTAGGTCCCAAAGTATTGCTTCTATGTTTTGAGAGTCTCATGGTTTCAGCAACAGTTGTGGGTGGTGATTGCACAACATGGTTCTTGATCCATTTTGAGTTAATTTTTATATCTGGTATGAAGAATGGTCCAATTTCATTCTATTGCCATTTGTGGAGAGCCATTTGTATTAGCATCAGTTACTGAAGAGACTATTCTTCCCCACTGGATGGATACAGCACCCTTGCCAAAAATCAATTGCCCATATATGTTGTTGCTGTTATGTGCCGTCGAGTCGGACCTGACTCATAGCGACCCCTCCTTGGGTTTCCAAGGCAGTATCACTACAGAAGTAGATTGCCCCATCTTCCTTCCAAGGAGTGGTTGGTGGGTTTGAACTGCCAGCCTTCTGGTTAGCAGTCAAGTGCCTTAGCCACTATGCTACCAGAGCTCCCTGGCCATATATAAATGGGTCTATTTCCGGACTCTCAATTCTATTCCATTCATTTATACATCTATTGTTATAGCAGTATCACACTATTTAGATTACTGTAGCTTGATAATACTTACTTTTTCATTTTTTTTGAGTTGTATTTGACTTGGTAAGCTGCCTGGATTAATTTGTCTGTACCACCATCAAACTGATGTGGAATGACCTTCTGAAAGTGCTAAGATACAATAAAAAAAAGCATAAAAAATATTTAGAGCCTATTATTATTAACTGATTAATAGTGAAAACTAAAGACATTCAAGAAATAATGTACTCACTCTGCTTTATGGAAAATCAATTTTCTCTGTAAACTTTCACGCATATTACAATTAAAAAAAGAAAGAAATCATGAACTGACTTACCTGCAACATCCCTTCCATGTCAAGTTGCATTAGTTCTGCCTGATTCATTTGAAGAAGTGCTAATCCAACTCGAAACACTATTTCTAAACCCTGAGGAAACAAATTATAAAAGCAGTATTTATCTTATTCTTCATCAACAAGAACTGACCATTCAAAATAATATCAAGGTAAACATTGAGGGATCTCAACTAGAGATCGGCAAGTATCTTCTGGGAAGAGTCAGAGAATAAATACCTTAGGTTTTGTGGGCCATACAGTATCTGTAACAACTACTCAAGTCAGCTGTTAAAGCCCAAAAGCAGACGCAGAAAACACATACATGAATGGAAGTGCCTCTATTCTAAGAAAACTTTATTTACATATCAGGCAGCAGGACAGATTCGGCACGCAAACTGCAGTCTGCCAACTCCTATCTAAACTCATCCAACTAGGTAATACAAATTAATCACCCTGAGATATAATTAATAAGAATTAATGTGGGTTCAGAGAATAGAGATAAAGGTCACTACTCTGTGCTACTGATCAGTAAAAGGACAACCTAGAATGCATTCAGAAATAAATGAAACTCAATTTTACTAACTTGGGTATTATACATCTTGACTTAAATAACAACAGATGCACTACTACAACAAATTTTACCTTTCACTAACTCTCACTGTATCAATCAGGAGGTAATACAGAGGTTTGATTAAAAGTGTAGGTACCAGAATTTGACTGCCTATATTTCAATCCTGGTTATCTACTATACCATTTATGTGCTGTGTATTCACAAACTACTAACCTATCTCTAAGCCTCAGTAGTTTCCTCATCTGTCATCTATCAAATGTGGATAATAACAGTATCTACCTGATAGGGCTCTTACAAGCATTAAATGAAATTACCCAGGTAAGCAGCTTAACGTGTGACATAAGCTCTCTTCATATTTTCCTCATTGTCTTGCTCTAATTAACCCAATGATTCATTTCCTCAGCTAGTACTACTACTTTACCCATTGTTATTGTTCACAGATGCTGCTGAGTTGATTCCAACTTATGGTGAGCCCATATGTCAGAGGAGAACTGCTCCATAAGGTTTTCAAGGCTGTGACACTTTAGAAGCAGATCACCAGGCCTGTCTTCCAAAGTACTAATGGGTACAAACTTTCAACTAGTAGTTAGTTGAGTGCTTAATCATCTATGCCACCCAGGAACTCCTAGTATACCCATTAGCTTACCTCAGACATAAAGATATCAAATATTCTTGTTGCAATTGGTAGTGGAAAAGTTGTAAGAAAGATAGTCAGAAACCAGGATGATGCATACATTGAGGTATGAAAACTCTGAGACTGGAAGTGTACAAATAGCTCCGGAAGTTGCTCCTAAAGAAAAGAAAATAATTAGTTAAAAATTGATCTTTTTAAATCAGATTGTTGAATATACACTAGATTAGCCTATTCCAGACACAAAGAATGGGCATCGCATGGAAAAGTAAGATGTAGAAATTTATATATTCAGAATAGTGGTTACTATCAGGAAGGGAGGAAAGGGGAAAGGATGTAGAGGTAGAAATTTGGCTGCACCTATAAAATTTAATTTATTAATAAAAAGAAAAGTTGAAACAAATAAAAATTTTACATTTGTTTAACTTTGTTAGTTGGTAGCTGGTGTCTGTAATTCTCTGTCCTGTCTTAAACTATAATATTTCACAAGTTTTATTAAAAAAGAGAAGAAATGCTACGTTGAAATACTTGCATGTGCTAGTTACCATTAATCACCTATCCTTTCCCTCTTACTTTCTCACTTAAAAACAGATGTTTCAGCAACTCTAGTACTTCAAAACATAAAAAAAACAAATTAACTGAAAATGTAACATCAAGAGAGTTTAAGGATGATAGGTCCATATCAACAGAAGAATGGATAACGAAACTATGGTACATATACACAATGGAATACTACACAACACTAAAGAATAATGTAGAATCTGCAAAACACTGCATAACATGGATGAACTTGGAGGACATTATGCTGAGTGAAATAAGTCAATCACAGAAGGACAAATATAGTAGCAAGGCAAGGCAACCATTGCCGTGGAGTCGGACCCGACTCATAGCGACCCCTCCTTGGGTTGGCAAGGCAGTATCACTACAGAAGTAGATTGCCCAACCTTCCTTCCAAGGAGTGGCTGGTGGGTTTGAACCACCAGCCTTCTGGTTGGCAGTCAAATGCCTTAGGCGCTACGCTACCAGAGCTCCTGACAAATATAGTGTTAGTTCATCATTGTACAAAGTCAATGAAAGGAAACTTTCTTTGTTGGTTACCAGGAGTGGAGTGGGGGGCAGAAAGGGAACATTGGGGAAAAAAGAAAAAAAAAAGCATTGATCCATGTCATTTTAGTTTTGTATATTTGACTGTACATAAATTATATTTCAATAAAACGTATTTAAAGAGAGAGAGGGAGAGACTTTAAGGTTGATAAAAACGGGCTTACTATTTCAGAAAAAGGAAAAATGTTGTGATAGTTTAGGCTGTGTCAATTTGGTTGGCCCGTAGTTTTGAGTGGCTTGCCAGATAGAAGTATTTATTTCCCATGATGAAATTGTAGATTCTATGATGGAATCTGCTGTGAGAATATTAGTAGTGGAAGGAGAATTACCTTCAGGATGTGGCCAGCTTCTAGTACATATGAGGAAGCTTTGGGAAAGGTCTCCAGCTGTTTGGCACATTTTGGGCCATGTTGCCGGCCCATCTTGGGATTGTTCCTGGACTTGAACCAGTGGCCTGCTGTGTTGCCTGCTGATCCTGGGATTGTGCTATTTTACCTGCCGACTTTGGGTTTGTCAGCCTCAGCAGCCAGCAGCTACATGAGTTAGAAGAAGCCTCCAGCTCCAGTGGGCCTGGAATAAGAGGCAGAGCTGAAGCCCAAGTTCAAGGGGCCTTCACCCAGCCTCTAGTGCTGGCACTCTGAATTTGGACTTCAAGCCCCCTAAGCTCTAAGAGAATAAATTCCTGTTTGTTAAAGCCATCCATTTGTGGTATTTCTGTTATAACAACACTAGAGAACCAAGACAAATGTAATTAAGAATCATCTCAAGATCTACTTTGCCTTTTTCTTTAAAATGTAAAACATTTTACTATCTCCTTCACTCTACCAGACACAGAAAAGACTGCTGTTGTTAGGTGCTGTCAACTTAGTTCTGAATCATAGTGACTTTGTCCAACAGAACAAAATATTGTTTGATCCTGCACCATCCTCACAATCGTTGCCATGTTTGAGCCCACTGTTGCAGATACCTTATCAACCCAATTTATTGAGAGTCCCTCTTTTCTGCTCTCTCCTTTACCAAGTATGATGTCCTTTCTCCAGGGAATGGTCCCTACTGATAACATGGCCAATGTAAGTGTGATCAAGTTTCACCACGCTCCCTTCTACAGAGCATTCTGACTACTTCTTTCCAAAACAGATTGTTCATTCTTCTGGCAGTCCATGGTATTTTCAATATTCTTTGCCAACACCATAATTCAAAGGCATCAATTCTTCTTCAGCTTTGCTTATTAATTGTCCAGCTTTCACATGCATATGAGGCAATTAAAAACACCATGTCTTGGGTCAGGCCCACCTTAGTCTTTAAAGTGACACCTTTGCTTTTTAACACGTTAAAGATGTCCTTTGCAGCAGATTTCCCCAATGCAATACAGTGCTTGATGTTCCAACTGCTCCTTTCAAGGGCAGATTGTGGATCCAAGTAAAATGAACTTTTTGACAACTCAGCCTTTTTTATCCATTTGCCATGATGCTGCTTACTGGTCCAGTTGTGAGGACTTTTGTTTTCTTTATGTTGAGGTATAATCTGTACTGAAGGCTGTAGTCTTTGATCTTCATCAGTAAGTACTTCAAGCCTTCTTCACTTCCAGCAACCAAGGTGTGTCATCTGCATATTGCAAGTTGTTAATGAGTCTTCCTCCGATCCTGATGCTGCAGTCTTCTTCATACAGTCCAGCTTCTTGGGTTATTTGCTCAGCATATAGATTGAAGAAGTATAGGGAAAGGATACAAGCCTAAAGCACATCTTTCCTGATTTTAAACCATGCAGTACTGCCTTGTTCTGTTTGTATGATTGCCTCCTGATCTATGTACAGATTCACCATGAGCACAATTAAGTGTTCTGGAATTCCCACTCTTCACGATATTATCCATAATTTTCTTGTGATCTACACAGTTGAATGCTTTTGCATAGTCAATAAAACACAGATAAACATCTTTCTGGTATTCTTTGCATTAAGCTACGATCTATCTGACATCAACAATGAATGATATCCCTCATCCTCTTCTGAATCCTACTTGAATTTCTGGCAGTTCCCTGTTGATGCACGGCTGTAACCATTTTTGAATTCTCAAAAGACTGTGGCACCTCAGTTACAGAAACTACTTACACATAGGGACTGAACCACCGGACTTGAAGGCAAAGGTCGTCCATAGTCTTGGGGCACCTGGGTCAGTTGGCAAAACAAAGTTTGTAAAGATAATATTCTACATCTTAGTCTGATGAATAAAGTCTGCAATCTTAAAAGCTTGTGTGTTGCCCTCTACAAGCAACTATTGGTCTCTTCCTGCATGCAGCAAAGGAGAATGAAGAAAAATGAAGACCCAAAGAAACAATTAGTCCAAAGGACTAACGGCCCACATTAACTACAGCATCCTCTAATCTGAGACCAGAAGAATTAGAAGAACTAGTGGCGCCTAGCCACCACTTCCCTCCATTCAGGCTAGAACCACAAGAGTGGGTTCCAGTTAAAATGAGTAAAAAAAAAAAAAAAAAATTAGAGACCTAAGAAAGACTAGAGGAACGCCCAAGACTACTGTCCTAAGACAGTAGTAACTTGAAACTCAAGACACTCCGGAGGACACTTCTCAGCCAAGTAATAGACAGGACTATAGAACAAATAACAACACCCTTAAAGAACATGCTACTTAGAACAATCAACTATATGAGACCAAAAGGGCAACATTTGCCCAAAACCAAAGATGAGAAGACAGGAGGGACAAGGAAACTGGATGAATGGTAATAAAGAACCCAGCTAGGAAATAGGGACACATTGTGGGAATTGCAATCAATGTCAAGAACAATTTGTGTATGGATACTGATTGGAAAACTAATTTGCTATGTAACTTTCACCTAAAGCACAAAAATAAATTTTTAAATAGTAATAATAAAGCTAATTAATTTTTAAAAAAGACAAGTGCTTGTAATTCCTGTGGGTTACATTTTTTCAGGAAATAAAGATTCTAAAAATGGCTCTCATGCCTGCTGAGTCATTAACCTATATATTATTAAAAATTCTGTTCATTCAATTAAAATTTAAGTTAAAGAAAATATTTACACCACTGTGTTATAGGGCACTATAATAAATTTATTTCATACAAAAATTAAACCCAGAAAGGTAAAACATTTCAAAGATATCTTCACTTGATTTTGAGTCCTCCACTTTCATGAAGTTACTCAGTCTTAAACTAGCAACATAAAAATGAGAGGAAAAGGGAAAGACAGGTGCCAGGATTGAAAGAGACAGAAAAGACAAAGTAAATGGACTGAAGTCAGTGTCATAATGTCACAGCACCTATAAAAGAGCTTAGATTCTGCCAGCGAATAACAGGATATAATAGGACATAATAAGGAGACCCATATGCTTGCTTAGGTAATAGGGTTATGGTGCATATGCCACAAATGCATAAGGTTTGAATTATGAAAATTACAGTCAAGTTCCAAATTGTGATACACCTGCAAAAAGCTCATAACTTGGAATAGTTGGTCTAATTGTGTGTTGAGTGACCAAAACATAATCATGTGACTAAAACACTGATTTTTCAATTCCTTTAATGCTTTTAAAATTAAATTTGCTTAGCTGTCACTCAAACTAAGATCCTATGTGTGTGTGTGTGTGTGTGTATATGTTGTTGTTATATGCCGTCAAGTCGGCCCCGACTCATAGCGACCCCTCCTTGGGTTTCCGAGGCAGTATCACTACGGAAGTAGGATTGCCCAACCTTCCTTCCGAGGAGTGGCTGGTGGGTTTGAACCGCCAGCCTTCTGGTTAGCAGTCAAGTGCCTTAGGCACTATGCTACCAGCGCTCCCATGTGTGTGTGTATATATATATATATATATATATATATATATAATGAGCACAAAATGCCTTTTTTGCTAATGCTACACATATTACCTGTATCATGCATTCAAACTGGTACATACAAAGGCCCAATTCTGCCATACTTGGTTTGAAAAGTTCACGGAGTCTATAATCTTGCATTAATTTAACAAATACACAGAAAGCTTCTTCTTCTGGCATCTACATTTGGAGAAAAACAAAAGCAACAATGCTTAATGTTCTGTGATACATAAATAAGCCAAATTATATTTAAACCAAATACCCATCCACTATAAACAATGATTTGAGTGACCAAGTGATACAATTCTATTAATGAGAATGAAAAGTTAGACAAATCTAACTTCTGAGACAGTCTCACTGGTTTCATTCATTAATTTGACTACTAAATTAGTAATATTCACTTAGAATCTAATACTTTTCTCTCTGGGTAGCAATGAACAAAATAAACACAGACTCTACTTTCATGGAGCTTTTAAACTTCCTCGTTGGGGGAGACAGCCAATAAAACAATTAGTGTATATGCCAGATGGTGGTGAGTGCTTTGGAAATAAAATAAAGGAAGGTACTAGGGACTTCTGGTAGAATACACTGCTATTTATGTAGGGAGGTCAGGGATGGTTTGCTTGATATGATAATAATACTTGAGCAGAATTCTGAAAGAAACAAAGGAGTGAGACATTCAGATATTCTGAAGAAAAACAGTCCTGGAAGAGAGAAGAATACAAAGGCTCCTGATACTTGGCATGCTCAAGTAACAAAAAACACAGGAGCTACTAAAGGAGGAGTAATGTTATGAGAGGAGGTTAGAAAAATAATAGAAAGTCAAATTACAAAGAAATCAGCTGTAAAGATCTTGACTTTTATCTTAAGTGAGACGGGAAGATTTCCCAGGGTTTGAACAGGTTAAGTGCTATAATAAGGCTATATTTAAAGAATTTGTATGTTTTCAAAGAATCTGTAATTGGAGTTTAAAGATATCAATTTCTCATTTTACGTGTAACTCACTAGGAAATTATATCAAGTAAGATGCGTATAAAAGCTCCCTGTAAAGAGCTACACAGATATTCAGAATATTTAGGCAAAAAACATTTGCAAAAATAAAGTAAATAAATATAAGATTAAAAAAATTATGCAAACTTCTCAAAATAATAAAATTTGCTAATGTTCATTCACTTACATTATGCCAGTGTGTTTGAAAAGAGAAAACCCAAAAGGATCTCTAGGCATTCCTATTACTGAGGACTGCTTTTAATAACAATGCCCTTTCCCTGGCCTTGACCAGTCAGACAGGAGCTAAGAATTACTCTTGGCAAAACCCCCACTTCCTTCCTTCCTGCCAACATTCAGCCACAGTTTTCCCTTGGAGACCACTACTATTAATCCTATCAAACTCTACACCCCCAAAGATTTATATCAGTCACTACAAGAAGCCCAAGATCCCAGAACTCTATCCTATATGGTTCTACTCCTTCCCTTATCTGACCCTATTTCTAATCTTCCCTAAAATTTTCCACAAAACTTTCTGGAATTTATAATCTGCCAATTACAAATACTCTTTTTTTAATTATTATTACTCTTCTCTTTTGCCCTCTCTACAAACCTCTCCCACTCATTTTTGTGAAAATTAATTCTCTGACCTAGCAGATCTCTGACTTCCTTTCCTCCAATGGAGCCACACCACCTAATATTCAAATTCCACCTTCTCCTCTTAATAGCTATGTGACCTTGGACAAATTATTTAACCTCTCCATTCCTCAGTTTTATCATCTATCCAATGGGCAAAATAATAGTACCCATTTTGTAGAGTTGTAATGAAGATTAATGCACATGAATTATCTACAATTACCTCAACTGACCAGGCCTACAACTAACTTATACTATACCACCTGTTCTCCATTCCCAACTTCCTCTTGTCTTCACTTTGTTCCTTAACCTGTTACATTTATTCACTCTTAAATTCACAATTACTTTTCCTTCTCTCTTCTTTTATTATAACTCCAACTGGCATAACTCTACCCTTGGATAAATCTAACTTCACACCTACATCTACATAGCAGAAAGTGACTAAGGAAAAAAACAAACAAAAAACAAGTGCTGGCTGGTCTCACTTTGAATTCATAACCACTAATGCCTCGGAGGGAGCTCTGGTAGCATAGTGGCTAAGACACTTGCCTGCTAACCAGACGGCTGGCGGTTCAAACCCACCAGCCACTCCTCGGAAGGAAGGTTGGGCAATCCTACTTCCGTAATGATACTGCCTCGGAAACCCAAGGAGGGGTCGCTATGAGTCGGGGCCAACTCGACGGCACATAACAACAACAACAACAACACAATGCCTCGGAAACCCAAGGAGGGGTCGCTATGAGTCGGGGCCGACTCGACGGCATATAACGACAACAACAACAACGTCAGCAGGTCTTTAATGCTGCCTCGTATACTGCATTTCCTTAATTTAATCACTCTTATTTTTCCAGATTTCCATTTCAAACTTTCTTCTCAGTTCTCAATCCTCCAACATCTCCCTCATTCTTCACTCTAAATGAATGACCATGTTTCCCATTTCAATTGAAAAGAAAAGAAACAATTAGAAGAGAATTTCCTTATTCTCAAACCACATCTACTACCCTACTCACACCACAACATCTGCACGTGTACCTGTTTTTTCTACCTTCAGTTACAAAGGATGAGCAGTTCACTCTCCTATGTAAAAATCATTTTACTTGGATCCTGGATCTGATACCCTCCTATAATCAATCTCTTCTGGACCTTTCTCATATGAAATTATGACTTCTTGTCTCCCATTTTCAACCACCCTCTTAGCATATCCACCTACATGTTCAATGGACATCTCAAATTTAGCATATTCAAAACTACTCCCTTAATGTTTTACCATGTCAGTCCCTGCCCTAAACATTCTCTCAAAAACTTTTCAAGTCATCATTGACACCTTTTTCTCTTACTACACCATCCAATCTATTAGCACATCTTGTTGGCTCTATATTAAAAATATTTCAGGAATCAACCATATCTCACCACAGACACCTAGTTCAAACCACCATCTCATCTCCTGTCACTCTGCTGCTTCCCTTGTACTACCTTCCCAACAGTTTATTCTCTAAAACATCAGTTGCCAAAATGATTTTTTCAAATCATGAATCCGATCATGTCATTCCAATGCTCAAAACCTCTAGTGGCTTCTTATATCCTCAAAGAAAGACAAAATCCTGCATGATGTGATCCTTTACTACCTCTCCAACCTTTATTCCCACCATTCCCTCCATATCTCTCCCCTATACCACATCACTTCAGCAACATTAAGAATGAATCAATTAAGTTGAATCAATTAAGTTTCCTGAGAACAAATACAGATTATGATGGACTTTTTAAAAATTTTCAAGAAGGCTAAAGAGATAATGCTATATGCTATTTCTCGTCAGAGCTATCTATGATTGTCCTCAATCCTGAAAATACCCCACTCAAACTACTCTAAAACAAGTCACTGTTAATGGAAATACATTATATCCTTGCGGCATTAAAACTGGCCGAGTACCACTATTTTCAAGACTATAACAATATATATATATTATATATATATATGTATATAGACAGATAAATAAATGACATAGATAGATAATGAGCTCTCTTCTCCATGATAAATAAAATTCCAACTATATCACAGTTTTCCATACTGTAAATGGGAGCTCTGGTGGCATAGTGCCTAAGACATTTGACTGCTAACCAGAAAGCTGGAGGTACAAACCTACCACCTACTCCTTGGAAGGAAGGTAGGACAATCTACTGCCATAGTGATAGCACCTCCCAAGGAAGGGTTGCTATGAGTCAGATCCGACTTGACGGCAGTGAGTTTGGTTTTGGTATACTGTAAATAAGATTTCTATACTAACACTTTAATCATGTCCTCCTTGCTGGGAAATGACTTTTGTTCTTGTTGTTGTTGTTAGGTGCTATCAAGTCAAGTCTGACTCATATAACCCTATGTACAACACAATGAAGCACTGCCTGATCCTACACCATCCTTACAATCAAAGCTTGAGCCCATTGTTGTAGCCATTGTGTCAATCCATCTCTCTGAGAGAAAAGATGACTCTTCATTAAATGCTGACAAATAAGATTTAAAAGCAAATGCAGGCTTTAGCAGAAAATTATGATCTAAATGTATATACCAAGAAGTTGAAATTTCATTGATGGCAGAGTATTACTGTATTTTTAAGTACTTTTAAACTTCCAAAATGAAAATTAAATATGCCTTTTGAAATTATGCCTAGAGAAAAACAATCCATATCCAAAGTTACTTAATAAAAACAAACATGATTTTCAAATTTTCCAATCCAACTTTAATACAAAATTTAATTAGACATTTAATATCTGCATTAACTTACCTGCATAAGCAACAATCCAACTATAAAAGCACTTCCTTGACAGTAACCAACCTCACGATCCACTAAAGAATATGCCTAAAAAGTAAAAAAGAAAAAATGCCATCAAAATACCCTGATGTGGAATATTATTCCTTCTCTAGAAATCTAGTATTGGTGAAATAGGTGGACTAAAAGACGATTCTTTTTCTTTTCTTTAGAAAAGCTTTTGCCTCCTTTTGTTGTAGATACCCTATGAAATATTTTTAAAGTAAATTTTTTATTACTATGATTTTCTTTTGATAATTTCTCAGTTGGAAACTGTCAGTGCCAAAGGACCAAAAAATAAAGGAATCTACCCTCAGGAAATTAATAGAGCTTAAAAATCAAGTAAAATTCATAGTAATAAGGATAAAACTAGTGTGGAGTTAGGTAAAGCATTGGCAAAACTGATATCATTTAAGAAGAAATCATATTTCACAGAGGTAGCTGGAGGGAAAAGAAACTATGGAAAAAGACAATATGGAAGGAACAATTACTATGGTACACACTTTTAGAGGCTACAATCAGTATTTAACAATGCTGGCCATGCAAGCAGAAAAATGTGCCAACTGTGCAAATGCTGGCATGACAGGAGAAGATTTCATCTCAGATTTTTAATCTCTTAGAAGACGAATTACTCATTTTTATAGAAGATTTCTCTATGGTACAGTGATTTATAATTTTCTATTAGCAAACTTATGCTAACTAATATAGTGAATTTTCTAACAACTTCTCCAAACTAGACAGTAAGTAAAGTAGCATCCAAAGTTTCAATTTCTTCTCAAAATTACGTAAGTAGAAATAAAAAGCAGAAATTATGCTAAAGACAAATTTATTTTCAAAGCAACTCATTAATGGAGTGGGAGTCCATGCTTTATAATGGGAAATGTATCATTTCAACCTTTCAGAAATTCACTTTACTTGAAAAAACAAATAAACAGAACTTACCTTCATCACGTTAAATAAAACCTCCTGTCCAAGACTATCTTTTTCCTTAAAAAAGTTATGCTCAGGATAAGTTCTAGCAATGTCCCTTCGGATCAATTTTTCACAAGGTGAGGTCATTTTCAAGAGTTCTGAATACTGATCCTTAATTGGCATACTTTGTGCACTGCATAAAAGTTGCCAAACTATTGCTCTAAAGTGGTGGGGTATCCCTTTACGAACAAGCTCCTAAAAATGAAAATTAAAAAAGTCTTATTGGAGATTGGAGTGGAGTGGAAGACCTTATCAAATTTATGATTCACAAAGCCAATATTACGTATTTACAACAAGAATGGGGAAACTTTTAACCAAGTATAAGATTTGCCCTTGGATGTATCCTGTTCTGATCAGGGAAGCTGCAAAGTCATGGAAAAATTCTGGTCATTTCACTCAGAGTATGGCCTCTGAAGATGTAAAGACTTATAACCTGCAGCTATGAATGACTATACAGTACCCATCAACTTTCAAAGGGCTAGCAGAGGAAAATACTGATATTCAAGGATGTCACAACTTCATTTTCAATCTATAAAATGAGAGAACTTAACTCATTTCCAAAATAATTTTCAGCTATGTATTTCTATATTTTTAGGACATCTATAATAACTAACAAGGAGCTCTGGTAGCATAGTGGGTAAGGTATTCAGCTGTTAATCAGTGGTTCAAATCTACCAGCTGCTCCACTGGGGGAAAATGAGGCAATCTACTTCTGTAAAGATTTGTTGTTGTTGTCACAACTTCATTTTCAATCTATAAAATGAGAGAACTTAACTCATTTCCAAAATAATTTTCAGCTATGTATTTCTATAATTTTAGGACATCTATAATAACTGACAAGGAGCTCTGGTAGCATAGTGGGTAAGGTATTCAGCTGTTAATCAGTGGTTCAAATCTACCAGCTGCTCCACAGGGGGAAAATGAGGCAATCTACTTCTGTAAAGATTTGTTGTTGTTGTTATGTGCCGTCAAGTAAGACCTGACTCATAGTGACCCTTCCTTGGATTTCCAAGGCAGTATCACCACGGAAGTAGATTGTCCCATCTTCCTTCCGAGGAGTGGCTGGTGGGTTTGAACCGCCAGCCTTCTGGTTAGCAGTCAAGTGCTTTAGGCACTACGCTACCAGAGCTCCCCTGTAAAGATTTATAGCCTTGCAAACCCAATGAGGGTCTCTATGAGTTGGAATTGACCTGATGGCAGTGGGTTTGGTTTTTTGGTATAATAACTGATAAGTGACACAGTGGTTTAGTACTCAGCTGCTAACCAAAAAGTCAGTGGTTTGAACCCACCAGCCATCCCATGAGAGGAGGAAGTGGCAGTCTACTCCCATAATGATTATAGCCTCGGAAATCCTATGTGGCAATTCTACTCTGTCCTACAGGGTTGCTATGAGTCAAAACTGACAAGACAGCAACAAGTTTTATAATGAACTGACTTCTATAAATGGAAACTTCTCCAGGCACAAATAAATAAAAACATGGACTTTTATTTTTTTATCATATAGCTTGCAAATTATAAGAATCTGATGTTTTCTTCCAATTCTCAAATGAATTATCTATTAATCTATGTCGGATAAGGCAATGAACTTTAACAAAGAACAAGAGTACCTTAACTTGCTTTTCTTTCTTTTTGCGTACATCTTCCCATTCATTAACAATTCTTCCCCAAAGAATCCAAGAATCTTCTTCAAGGTGGCTGAGGTTGCTAGAGGCTGATGAACTTGATACGAGAGAGGAGCCACTGTTTCTTCTTGAACCATTTACAGACCTTAAAGACTTGCTATCCGTCTCCAACAATCTAAAATATAATTTAAAATTCCTCAAGATCTAATCCTACCATGATACCAGATGAAGTAGTGATGACACTTGTCTTAGAACTTCGCTACAGTGTTTCAAGATATAGTTTTAATAACATGCATAATTTCAACAATTGTTAGTTGGCATCAACAAAATAACTGCTGCATTTTTCACCTAAACGTAACAGTTTCAAAATTTGAAATAACAAATTAAGTTAAATATTTTAGTGCTATTAGCCTTATCCATACTCATAATCCTATTATAATTTCCCTTCATGCCCATTAAAAAAGTCAAGTTAGAAGAATCCTCTGGTAAGAAAACTGGTTAGGAAAATTGATTTTTGCTTCATGCTTCTAACCTGTATTTAGAAGAGGTGCAACAAATTCCATTGACATTTACAATGTGTCCAGGCTAAATAAGTAAGGCAGACAAGACAAATTAATCAAATTCCTTTTCCTTTTGTTTCATTCATGCATAAATAACCTGCCCAAAAAGTGTTTTATTTGGCACACACAACGTAAAATACCTGAATTATCACTACTATTTTAAAATTGGAAGATTTTACAGATTTTTTCATATATATACACACTTGTATTTACTTATGTATCATTCTGAAGTCTCCTAAAAAATGAAAGTAGAGGAAAACTAGCCCTCATTTCTTCTCAGAAACAAAAGGGTGAAACTAACTAGGGGTACTCCTTTTAGATGGTGAAGGCCTTTATCAACTTGGTTTCCACATTCCCTGCTGTCTCCGCAAAACTCAGGGCAACTAACAGCTGCTATTCATCACTGGGCTTACACTGTAAACTGGGACCTCTTTGCTCCTAAGGTTCTCTGTTGACCTTTGATTTTATAACTCTGTATTACACCTCTTTCTTATCTGTATAAAGACGTTAAGATAATTTCAAAGATCCATTCCATGACTCACCACAACATCAAACCCATTGTTCCTTTCACACCTGCATAGCCTATATAGGAAGGACTGAGAAATGTGGCTCTATCACTATAAAGATGTAAATCATATGTCATTCAAATAATAAGGGTCCTAAAACATCTATGTGTATACTTAACATAGCTATTGTCTACTTGCAGAAACTCCTTCAGAAACAGTCATCTGCTTAGGGTGTAAGAAATGCTCCAAATACTACTTCATGAGATACAAAAACAAGGAATGAAAAAACATACAGCATCTAAAATAAAACTATTGGTCTCTTCCTGTCCAGAGCAAATAAGAGTAAAGAAAATCAAAGACTCAAGGAAATAAGTAGTCCAAAGGACTAATGGACCACGTAAACCACAGCCTGAGACCCAGAAGAACTAGTTGATGCTTGGCCACCACTATCAACTACTCTGATTGGGATCACAATAGAAGGTTCTGGACAAATTGAGAGAAAAATGTAAAACAAAATACAAAATCATTTAAAAAAATGCCTGGCTACCACTGTCAACCACTTGGAGGGGGGATCTATTGAGGAGATCCTATATAGAGAGGGAGAACAATGTGGAACAAAACTCAAATTCATTTGGGGGGGGGGAAAAAGGGGGGAAACCAGGTTTGCTGGACTGATAGAGCCTGGTAGAACCACTGAGACTATGGCCCCTAGCTGCCCTTCAGGTCTGGAATTGAACCCACACCTGTGGCTTCCAGCCAAACAAAAAACAGGCATATAAGTTGAACATTTACCTGAGGTAGATACCCTCCTTGGAGAGAACAATCATGGGAGAAAGAAGGGCTATTTATGCACAGGGAGACAGCTCAGGGGGCAGGAGGGCATGGAGGGATGGAGACAGGGAAGAGGTAACTATCAAGAGGAAGTGGAAGGAGAGCTGTTGCATTGTGGTAAATTATAGTCAATGTCACAAGACAAAGTGTATGTGAAATGTTATATGAAAAGTGAATTTGCTCTGTAAACTTTCACCCAAATCACCAAAACCAAAAACAAAAACAAAAAAAAAACCAGACTTACTGGTCTGAAAGAGACTGGTAGAACCCCTGAGACTATGGCCCTTAGACATCCTTCAATCCTGGAACTGAACCCCCTCCTGGAGATCGATCACCATTTCAGCCAAACGACAGGCCTATAAAGTGAACAGTAACACCCATGAGGAATGTGCTCCTCAGAACAATCAACCACACAAGACCAAAAGGGCAGCATTTGCCCAAAAACAAAGTTCACAAGGCAGGAAAGAAAAGGAAAGACGGGCAAATGGTAACAGGGAAGAAGTGAGAAAGAAGAATGCTGTTACGTTGAGGGGACTGCAAATAATGTATGAAACAAAATGTGTATAAACTGTTGAAGGTGAAACTAATTTGCTCTGCAAAATTTTACTCAAACCACAATAAAATATTCAAAACAAAGAAACATATAGCTCAAATACTATTTATCAGATTATAGAACCACGCTTTGAGAGTCAGATTTATACCTTATTCTTATCTTTATATGCCCAAGAACATTTAGCTCAGTGCCAAATATATGAAATGTTATTTGAATAGAAATAAAATATTCTCATATTAAAAGTAAAACCTTACAAATCCCAGATATGTAATATTCAATAACAATAATATAAATTAAATAAAATCTGAATTTTATTCATGTGACAATATATTTTCATGGCAACAACTTAAGTAAAAAAAAATTTCACAGCTCTTGCTAGAAACATAAACATTTATAAAACAGCTTATAAAAGTCAATTGTTTGCTATAAAGAAATATTCTTTATTTGAACAAAGGAATGATGTTTTACTTTAATTTCCATTTTTTTCATAGATTTTCTTTCAGAAAACCTATAACATATCTTATAGAAAATCAGTGTACCTATATAAGTAATTTTCTATATAATTCTAACCCATAAGAGTTTTAAATGGAAAAGTGAAACAAACTTTACTGAAATAATGAACCTGGACCTAAGTTCCTCATCTCACTTAAATATTCATTGAATACTTACCAATAAAACCAAACCTGCTGCCATAGAGTCGATTCCAACTCACAGTAACCCTTTAGGACAGAGTTGAACTGCTCCATAGGGTTTTCTAAGGCTGTAAATCTTTACAGAAGCAGATTGTCTCATCTTTTTCCTGTGGAACAACTGGTGGGTTCAAATTGCCAACCTTTTGGTTAGCAGCTGAAAGCTTAAACCACTACACCACCAAACCTCACTAAATGCTTACCAGATACCAAATAATTAAGCTACATCATTACTCTCAACAGACATGCAGTTAAAATAAAATAATGGTATTTACTAAGCTATACATAAATTTGGAAATATAGATAAAAGAGTACCTAAATGGGAGGTTTTCAGAGAATTAGAAAGGTCTTAGAGATCAATGATTTGCAACTTACAGGATAACCAAATGAACTCTTGTGAGTGGGCTAGGAAAGAAAGATAAGCAGTTCACATTCAGAGGATACTGAAATAGCATATACAAATACAAAAAGGTGTGAAAAATCTTTACCAATAAAATATTCCAAGTAAAGAGTTTAAAGATACTGTTCCTGTCTTATCTCACACGATACACAAAAATGATCCAAAATGGATTGATAGATCTAAATATAGAGGCTAAAATTATTAAAGCTCCTAAAAAGAATGGACTGAAAAATGATAAATTAGACTTCACCAAAGTAAAAAAGTTTTGCTGTTCAAAACAAACAAACAAACAAACAAGTTGATTTGACTCACAGTGACCCCTCCCTGGGTTTCCAAGGCAGTATCTCTATGGAAATAGATTAACCAGTCTTCCTCCTGAGGAGTAGCTGGTGGGTTTGAACCACCAGCCCCTCTGGTTAGCAGTCAAATGCCTTAGGCACTGTTCAAAAGACATGATTAAAAAAATAATAATAAAATAGGGACTAGGTTTGCTGGTCTAATAGAGCCTGGTGGAACCCCTGAGACTATGGCCCCTAGTTTGCCCTTCAGGTCTGAAACTGAACCTCCTCCTGTGGCTTCCAGCCAAACAAAAGACAGGTATATGAGCTGAACATTTACATTAGGTAGATACACTCCTTGAGGAGATCAATTAGGGGAGAATAGACAGGCTGTGAATGTACAGGGAGACAGCTGGGGGGGAACGCATGGGGGGGGGAGGACACAGGGAAGAGGTGGCTATGGGAAGGAAGTGGGAGGACAGCTGTTGCACTGCAGAACATTGCAGTCAGTGTCATGAGACAAAGTGTATGTGAACTGCTGTATAGAAGATGAATTTGCTCTGTAAATGTTCACCCAAATCACAGTAAAATGTTAAGAAAAAAGACCAGACTTACTGGTCTGAAAGAAACCAGAGGAACCTCTGAGACTACTGCCCTGAGAAAACTTTCTAACTTGAAACTGAAGAAACTCTGGAGGATACCAGACTATAGAACTAACAATGGGAAGAATGTGCTCCTGAGAACAACCACTATAGGAGACCAACAAGACAACACTTGCTCAAAAACAAAGATGAGAAGACAGGGAGGACATGGAGAAAGTGCTGACACATTGTTGAGATTGCAATCAATGTCACAGAATAATCTGTGTATGAACTATTGATTGGAAAACTAATGTGCTATGTAAACATTCACCTGAAGCATAAATTTTTTTTTTTAACTTTTTTAAAATTGTAAAGTATATTAATTATAACTCAATAAAGCTATTACATACTTTCTAAAATACAGGTAAAATTTAACTATGGTGATAAAAACCAGAAAAGCAGATACATGGTGGGTTGCTGGGAAAGAAAATTTTCTAAGATAAGGGGAATTGTCTCAGAGAGAAATTTCCTGTCTTAATTGGCATGTGGATTATATACAGGTTTATACCTTAGTCAAAACTCAAACTGTACACTTAAGAAATACACATTTCTCTGTATGCAAATTATATATCAACTTTGTAAAGACAAAGTGTCCCTGGGTAATAAGGTAAAAAATTACAACTTTTTACTATTGTAAGCCCTTCAAGATTTTTCCAAAAATCATGAATATTACTTAGTAAAAAATTATTTTTGATACATTTTATCTGTTTTATAAAG